TTAATCTTAACATTAACCTTAACCCTAACCTTACCCTGACCTTAACCTTAACCTTAACCCTAACCCTGACCTTAACCTTAGCCCTAACCCTGACCTTAACCCTACCCTAACATTAACCTTAACCCTAACCTTAACTCTAACCTCAGCCCTAACCTTATGACTGAAGAGGGTTGGCCAATGAGGATCAAAGGAAAGACTTGCATTTCTCTAGCGCCTTTCACCTCCTCAAAGCACCTTACAGCCGCTGTGATATTTTTGGATAGTAGTCACTGTCAGAGGGGGAGGTGATATCAGAGTGGTAATGTCACAGAATGAGTAATTGAGGAGTTATCAGTCTGGGAATGTGGGCTCAGATAACTGTGGAAAATCTGGAAGTGAAAGCTAACCTGAGTGATGGTGACCAGGAAACGATCAGCAATTGTTGTAAAAAAAAACACCCCCATCTGGTTCATGAATGTCCCTTTAGAGAGGGAAATCTTACTGGGGTCATGGTCTGGCCATGGGGTTCTCTCTGAGATGGCCAGTGAGAACAGTTCAAGGGGCAATTAGAGATGGATAATAAATGCCAGCCTTACTAATGATCCCCACATTCCCTGGACAAATGAATGGGAATCTTATGACTCACAGATTGTAATGTCATGGCTGATAGGTATTTGGATTGATAACAGTGATTGGGAATGGAAGGTGGAGGGGGGAGGTGTTTGAACTGGAGCTCAGGTCTGTTCTCCTGGGCAGAGAGTTCAAAAACCCAGGGGTCATAGATTCAAGATCAGTGGTGGAAGGATTAGAGCAAACTCGAGTAAAAAACCCTTTTACGCAGAGAGCGGTGGGTGTGTGGAATTTGCTGCCGGAGTTGGTGGCAGAAGCAGAGATGCTAAACTCTGTTAAAAAGGTCCCTGGATCCGCACCTTATGTGCTGTAAACTGCAGGGCTAAGGGCTACGTGTAGGAAGGTGGATTAGAATGGGCACCTGGGCGCCTTTCGGTAGGCATGGACAAGATGGGCCGAATGGCCCCCTATTGGGCTGTGTCATGGTACTGTGGAGGCTACGACCATCAGCTGTGATCTTATTGAGTGATGGGGCAGGGTTGAGAGATCAAATGGGCTGCTCCTGATCTCTAACTCGCTTGCGGAAGGAACGAGATGACATAGATTTAAAGCGATGTACACAAAAGGTAAGAGGAACGCCAGGGAGTTCCTTATTCCACCCAGTGAGCAGGCAGGGTGTGGGATATGTTGTGTGGAAATGTGGCGGGGACAGGTTCCGCTGAGGCTTTCATGAGGGGCATAGGCTGGTTATTTGGACACAAGGACACACAGGGAAAAGGCAGGAGGTTGGCACTGGCTGAGGATGCTGGTTGGAAGAGCCAGTGTGGATACAAGGGGCTGAATGGCCTCTTTCTGGGCTGTCACCAACTCCGACGTCCCCAACGTTCGTATCCACTACCCCGCCCCTCACCTCCCTCCCAATCTCTCCCTGCAAACCCGTCCCAGTGAGACGCAATACCTGGGCCTCTGTGTGTCTTCTCCATCCAGATGTAACAGTTGTTTTGTGCGACTCCAGTCTGGGAATCCAGGAATGGCAGCCGCATGCTGCGTTCGGCGCACAGCCGCGCATTGTAGCTGCGGCAGTGCTCGATGGCCTCGCGGTAGAAATCCTCACCCAGCCTGCCGACAGAAAGCAACACACACAACACATCAACACAGTTAACAGTGCAGTGGCAGCACCTCATTACCTGAGAGCTCCTAATCCCAGCCACCGACTCCCAACAATCCTCACCGCTGTGCAAAAGTGGAACTTCATTTTCACCCCCGCTGTGTGGGTCAGGCCAGCATTTACTGCACCATCCCTAATTGCCCAGAGGGCGGTTAAGAGTCAACCACATTGCTGTGGGTCTGGAGTCACATGTAGGCCAGACCAGGTAAGGATGGCAGTTTCCTTCCCTAAAGGGCATTAGCGAACCAGATGGATTTTTCCCTACAATGGATTCACGGTCATCATTAGACTCTTAATTCCAGATTTTTGCTTCGTCTGCCGTGGCGGGATTCAAACCAGGGTCCCCAGAACATGACCTGGGTCTCTAGATTAACAGTCCAGCGATAATAGCCACCAGGCCACCTCCTCCTCTTTTGGTGACGAATTACACTCCATTTGTGCACAGCACGATCCCACAAAACTCCAACGAGTGAAATAATTTAGTGAGGGACCAGGCGTGAGGGGTACTGCAGAGTCATACGGCATGGAAACAGACCCTTCGGTCCAACCAGTCCATGTTGACTACATCCCCAAACTAAACAAGTCCCGCCCACCTGCTCCTGGCCCACATCCCTCCAAACCTCTACTTCTCTCCTTTCTAATAATGTGTGCGAGTTTTTAAGTTTTACTTCCCACCCGAGGGGGTAAACAGGCCATTCATCCCCTCAAACCTACTCCACCATTCAATAAGATCACGGCTGATTTGATTTTAACCTCAACTCTACATTCCTGCACATCCTCGATAAACTTTCACCCCCACCCCCGCCTTGGTCATCAAGAATCTACCTCCTTCGGCCTGAAAAATATTTATAGATTCTGCATCCTTTGAGGAAAGGAATTCCAAAGAATCTCAACCCTCTGAGAGAGAATACACGTTTCCTCATCTCTCCTGACCCTGTACGCCGTTGGTAATCAGAAATCTCTTAATCTCTTCCTTAAACATACCCAAAAGTCTGAGCTTCAACAGTCCTCTGTGAATGAGATTTCAAAGTTTCACAATCTCTGAGTAAAAAGTAGTTCTCGTCACCTCAATCCTAATGGGCCCCATATTTTTAAACCAAGTCTTCTGGTTCTAGACTCCCCACCCAGTGGCAACATCTTTTCGAAATCCAACCCTGTCCATTCCTTTATGCGCTTTGTCGGTTTCAATGAGATCGTTTCTCATTCCTCGGGCCCCAGTTTTAATTCACGCGGAAGAGAGCTCTCCTGACAGCGCCGCACACCCTCGATACAGCACAGGGAACGTCAGGCTGAATTATAGGCTCGAGTGTCACCAATGAAATTTCATCCTACTGCTGTCTGACATGGTTGGGGGTGGGTGGGGGGTTGGGGGGATGGCGGGGTGAGGGGATGGAGTGAGAGTGCTAGCCTACAAACCCAATGTCGATTTTCTAGTCTTACCTACCCTGAGTGAGGGTCCTGAGGCCCGAATCATTTCTGTGGCCCCTGCTGGGCACTTCAATCAGGATGATAGTAAGAACTGCCGATGCTGGAGTCAGAGATAACACAGTGTGGAGCTGGAGGAACACACCAGGAGGCGCTTCATCTCTGGTATTGGACTCTATCGAGAGGCAAGCGCGTGCTCCAGCGAGTGGAGGAAGAGGGAGTGAGCTGAAGGCAAAGGTCCTTCCTTACACTCCCCTCGCCCGAGTGGACAAACCCTCACCCCTCGTCACCACCACCTCAGCTGAGATCAGCCACTGCAACACAGGGCCGCGACCAAATCTGGGACCAACTGGATAGAAAATAAGTTGGAAGAAATGGGAGCAGGAGAGGGCCATTCAGCCCATTGATCCTACTTTGCCCTTCAATGAGATCAAGGTTATGGTCTTGCTTTCCTTTTTTCCCTTCATAACCCCTTCATAATCCCTCCACAATCCCTCCACGGCCAAAACTCAGCCTTGAACCAGGATCAATGTTCCAGCGCCTGCTGCAGTCTGAGGAAGAGAATTCTGCCGGGAGAAGAAATTCCTCCGCATCCCAGTCTTAAACGGCTGTCTCTTATTCTGAGATGTTGCCCCCTGGTTCAAAAATGCACCCCCCACCAACATGAGAGGATTCATCTCCTCAGCATCTACCCCTCAGAGACTTGTATGTTTCAATGAGATCACCTTTTCTTTCTGCTAAACACCAATGAGGCCAGGCTCAAACTCTTGGTAAAACAAACAAGGGCAGGAATTTTTTTTATTTGTTCACAGAATGAAGGTGTCACTGGCCAGGCAGCATTTATTGCCCCAGAGGGCAGTTAAGAGTCAACCACATTGCTGTGGGTCTGGAGGCACATGTAGGGCAGACCAGGTAAGGATGTCAGTTTCCTTCCCTAAAGGACGTTAGTGAACCAGAGGGGCTTTTCCCCACAACAATTGTCAATGGATTCATGGTCATCATAAGACTCTTAATTCCAGATATTTATTGAATTCAAATTCCACTATCTGCCATGGCAGGATTTGAACCCAGGTCCCCAGAACACTATCTGGGTTAATAGTCCAGCACTAATACCACTAGGCCATCACCTCCCCCTTATGCAATTAAAAGAAGCGTTGGGTAGTGTTGTAGAACAGAGAGACCTAGGCAGATGCTGCCAGACCTGCTGAGCTTTTCCTGATTTACAGCATCCGCAGTTCTTTCGCAATTTAGAGAGACCTAGGGGCTCAGGGTACATAATGCTTTGAAATTCTTGGCATCACAAGTGGTTAAACAGGTGTTTAGCATGCTTGCCTTCATTGCTCACTCCTTTGAGTATAGGAGTTGGGATGTTGTGTTGAGGTCGTACAGGACATTGGTGAGGGCTCTTTGGAGTATCGCGTCCAGTTCTGGTCACCCTATTATAGGAAGGGCATTATTAAGCTGGAGAGGGTTCAGAAGAGATTTATCAGGATGTTGCCAGGAATGGAGGGTTTGAGTTATAAGAAGACGCTGGGACTTTTTTCACCGGAGCATAGGAGATTGTGAGGTGACCTTATAGAGGTTTATAAAATCATGAGGGGCATAGATAAGGTGAATGACAGGTGTCTTTTCCCTAGAGTGAGGGAGTTCGAAACTAGGGGGCATATTTTTAAAGGTGAGAGGAGAAAGATTTCAAAAAGACATGAGGGGCAACTTTTTTACACAGCGAGTGGTTTGTGTGTGGAATGAACTTCCAGAGGAAGTGGTGGATGTGGGTACAATTACAACATTTCAAATACATTTGGATAAGTACATGAATAGGAAATGTTCGGAGGGACATGGGCTAAGCGCAGGCAGGTGGGATGAGTTGACTTTGGGATTATAGCCAGCATGGATTGGTTGGACCGAAGGGTCTGTTTGCATGCTGTATGACTCTCCTCCATCCCAGGGATCAGCTGAGGGGAGTCTCTCTGTGGTACATTTCTCCTTCCAAAAGGGAACCAAAATTGTACGCAGTACTCCAGGTGTGTCCTCATCAATGCCCTGTACAGTTGTAGGAAATCCTTCTACTTGGACGGTGGTGTAGTGGTAGTGTCCCTACCCCTGGACCAGGAAGTCCGGGTTCAACATCCCACCTTGCCCAGAGATGTGTAATGACACTTCTGTGAATGGGCTGTTCAGGAAATAGCTCTCCCCGACAATGAAGGCCATGAAGAGAGATAATACCAAGGAAAATATAAAATGGGAATTGATTTATCTTCCAAACCTGTGACCTCTACCTCCTCTATGAGGTCAACAGATATGGCGAAACACCAGCCCTGCCAATTCCCCTCCAAGCCACTCACCATCCTGAGTTGGAAATATATCGCTTTTCCTGCCATATCACTGGGTCAGAATCCTGGAATTCCCTCCCCAAGGGGCATTGTGGGTCCCTACAGCACATGGACTGCTTTCTCCTCACACCCACCTTCTCAAGGGGGCAATTAGGGACGGGCAATAAATGCCGGCCACGCTCACTCCCTGTGGTCAGTAAAGATAATCTCAGGGCCTCGTCTAACACAGAGTGTTGCTGAGGTTTCTCGGGAAGACAGCGGCAGCGACAACGTGCACAGCAAGATCCCAGCAGCTGTGAGATAATCGGCGAGCTGCTCTTTTTCCTTTTGGTGCTGGTGTTGGCTGAGGAGGAAATGTTGGTGAAGCCACAAGGAGACCTCCCTGAAGTTGCATTCAATGCCATGGGGAGCTTTAATACTCAGG